TTGTATAAGGATACTTCATGGCATTTTGTGCAATGGTGAAGTCAGGTAACAAGGCTCTCTCAGAATGTATGCCATTGTTAAGTGACACATAATTATATAAACCCTTAGCATGAATCTTTAAGCAAACATTAAGATTCTGTTGTGTGACTATGACTGACATACTAGGGTTTCTGAGTCATGTGTGAGAGAAAATTTACTCTCAGAGTTAGATACAGAAGTCCTGAGATTTAATATTTTTCTTTGAAGTTTCTTTAGTTTTCATGTATCTTTCTTACTAATTGACAACATTTGCAAAGTGACATTATGGATCCTTGAGATTAGCTAGAGCACAAACACAACAAATAAATAAACCAATCTGTAATTATAACTTTGAAAGTCACAAAGAAGACTTATAGGCTGGAAAAACAAAATGAATCTATTTTAAGGGCACCAGAGAAAGCTTGCCTGAAGAAGTGACGTTAAAACGCCACCACGATGAATAAAGAGATTGCCAGCAGAATTTAAAGAAATGTTACGGAGCAATATGTACAAGTGCCCTGAGATGGAGTAAGAATAGCTTATTTTAGGAACTGAACACTGTAACTGAGGGGGAGATAGTACTAGTAAGCTTAGAGAAGGTGAGAGGAACCGGATCAAATGGGACCTTGTTAGGTTTTTCAAACTATCCCAAGGGAGAAGCTGAGAGAAGAACTTTAACTAGGGGAGTGATGTGAACAGTATTTTGGGAAGATCACTTCTCATGTGTAGAGATGATCAAGGAGCTCAGTAATTCATGCAGAGTTTTTAGTTAGGAGTTTCTTGGAGCTGTCCAAGTGGCAGTGGTTTGACTGAACTTGTGCAGTGAGTATAGGGAAAGCTAAATATACTTGAGAACTAGTTAGAGCATAGAATTGATGGTCTTGGTGAGTGACTGGGGTTACAAGAGATAGATAGAAGTGTTGAGGAAGACTAAATATTTAGTTTATGGAAGTCTCAATAAATGTTTTTGATACCTGCTACTGTAGGTATTATTTTTACCACTACTTTCATAATATATGAGAACTGGAGGCCACATATAATTTTGACTGGGAATAATTTAAAGCATCTATTAATCCTTTGGTGACAATTAGTATTCTTGGTTTTTAGTTTTATTAAAAAAACACTTTAGGGCCTCTCTGGTGGTACAAGGGGTTAACTCTCAGCATTATGAAACAATCCACAGCGACTGATGCATAAGTTCATTCTCCAGCCAGGGAGCTGACCCATATGGCACAGCAGAACTTTCCTTTCCTTCCCCCCAATATCCCCCAAAAGTGGTGTAAGTCAGTCAACTGCCTGTCCTGCTCCCCACTGTGTCTCTGGTGAATCCTTTCAATTCCCCTCCCCACCCCCACCTCTGGCCTACACCCTAGTTCTTTTATGCATAAATAAATCTTTTAAAAGAACCACTTTATGGTCCCTCCCTGGTGGCACAGCCTGTTAAAGCACAGCACTAAGAAGCTAAAGTAACTTCAGCATGAGTTCAGTCCCCGCCCGAGAGGTGATCCATATGGTACAGCAGACCTCTCCTGAGCTGCCCGCTGCTCCCCTCAGCAGTGTACTTCATCAGTTTGCCTGTTCTGCTCTCCACTTTGTCTCTCTGGTGAAGCCTCTCACCACCCCTGCACCTCTGGCTTATATCCCACTTCTGTATGCATAAGTAAATAGTTCTTAAAAAAATTTTTTTTCCCATTTGACCTCACCCAATGTAATATAAAGGAATAAAATACAATTGATATGATAGTTGCCTTTCTTAATTGCCCTTCTGGTACACTGAAAGTGTGACTCTAAATTTTAATTCTCTTTAAGCCTTATGAGCATTTCAAGTGTTTCTTTTCCCCCATGAATAATATACTTTCTTATTTTCTAGACAGATTTTCCAGGTTTTGTCTTCTGAACATTAATTACCACAGCTATACTGTAAAAATAATATGAAGACAGCAAAATGGAAGACTGTATATACCTTTGCAATATAAATCTAGTCACACATGTTCTGTTTGGAAAGGAAACATTTATGAGTATTCTGCAGAAACATTTATATGCCTATAAATAACATTGCTGAGTTACTCTGCTTAGCATGAACATTTGAGAACATTTTTGTAGTCAGTTTATTGTAAGTCTGTGTAGGAATTAAGGATGGTAACAATGATATGATCTGCCTGTGGGATTAATAAATTTCAAAAAATGTATTTTGCATATGGGTGTGGCAATTTCTGGAAGAATATTACTTCCTTTTGGGTGCCTGCATATCAGTATGTCAGCTTTAAGACTCAGAGCAGATTAAACATTGCTGGTGTGCTCCAGAACTATTTCTTTTGCATAGTTGGGGCATGTCCCATTTCTCTGGAAAACCCTTACTTGAGTTGTCCTGAACATAACCACTAATAGACTATTTCACATTTGCATAGGGCTTTTCATTTTCAAGATTTCACAATCAATGCCTTTTAATCCATATAGCATGCCTGCGAGGTAGGTAGATACATTCAACTATCCAGTTCTCCTGCAGGCGAATTTCAGTGCCAGCAGGAGTATTGTGATTGGCACTGACTTTCCTTAATTTCCCAGAGGCCAGACACCTGGAGAGGCTTTCCTGCAGGCGTAAGTACCTGCCAATGTTTTAGCCACATGTGGCTGCCTCTTCATTCCTCCTGCTATTTTACTAAGATTCAGTGACTGCATGCACCATTAACTACAATGTTGTGCCGAGTGTTTCAATTTGCATTAAACCTATACAGGAGTGGGTATGTTTGGAAGATTCTTAGACAGCTGTATGAACATATATATTGTGTACAATAAATTTCAACTGTTCATATTTCCATTTTCTATCAAAAGTACTTTTCATTAATTCAAAACCACAATTTCTGTCTTTGAGTCTTAATATATTCAGGCAGGCAGGAGGCTTGTACACCTAATGATCAAATATCAACAATAAAGTACTGATTGAACTGAAATGTAAGCAGTCATATATAGTGTGCTTACTTATACCAGCACTGATACAAATACATTTATTATCTCATCCTTAAAACAACCCTAGGAGGGCCCTCCCTGGTGGCGTAGTGGGTTAAAGCACAGCACTGAGAAGCTTAAGCCACTACTGCATGAGTTCAGTCCCCTCCTGTCCCCTGGAGGTGACCCACATGGCACAACAGGCCTCTCCTGATGTGCCCACTGCTCCGCTCACTAGTGTACTTCATCGATCTCTCTGTTCTGCTCCCCACTCTATCTCGGGTGAATCCTCTCACCACCCCTGCACCTCTGGCCTGTACTCCAGTTCTGTATGCACAAACCAATAAATCTTTAAAAAAAAAAAAAAAGAAAGAAAGAAAGAAAAGAAAACAACCCTACGAGGTATATACTATCTTTCCTGGTTTACAGCTAACGGAAACCAAGGCTGTGCACATTTGCAGGGCTTATTTATTTATTTATTTATTTTTTTAAAGATTTATTTATTCGTACAGAACTGGGGTACAGGCCAGAGATGCGGAGGGTGAGAGGATTCACCAGAGACAGAGCGGGAGGCAGAACAGGCAGATCGACGAAGTACACTGCTGAGGGGAGCAGCGGGCGGGTCAGGAGAGGTCTGCCACACCATGTGGTCACCTCCGGGGCAGGCAGGAATTGAACTGATGCGGAAGTGGCTTCAGTTTCTCAGTGCTGGGCTTTAACCTGCTGCGCCACCAGGGAGGGCCCTGCAGGGCTTATTTAAACCTATCCTGTCTGACTCCAAAGTCACTTTTTAACCATTTGATACTCACTGCCTTAAATAGAAGATCTTACATAGAATCTGTATGTGCTGGAACAGTACACAGCAATGGACAGGTAATGAAAAGGTGGACTATAAAGAGGTAATATTGATCTCCTTTTTTATAACACAAAGCAAAACCATGTAATGGAATTGGTCTTATCCACATCAGACTTTATAATATTTTACCTTTCTGGGCACTTATAACTGGCTACAAATGAAAAGTATTTCTGTCTTCTCTTTCCCTGTGTCAATAATTTCTCTAAAAAGGGACTGTGTTGTATTTAATCTGTGATCTTATATATTAAATGATACTTAAAACCTTTAAATTGAGTAAATGTTCAGAACTCATTGACTAAATCGACTTCTAAAGATTGGTGGGGCTATTAATTAGAAAATGAAGTCCTTGTATGTGGTAAAACATTCAAATGAATAAATGTATTTAATATCTGTAGAACCCCAGTTCTCCAAGGAATCATTATTATAAATTTTTTTGGTGGATCCTTTACAAAATAGTTACTGTATGCATGTGTGTGCGTGCGCATGTGTGTACAGGTAGATGGATACTCATATGTTGCAGCTGACACACTTATGTTAAAACCTATACACCTGATAAGCTCAAGACAGTCATGACTTCATTGATAATAAGTCTTAAATACATAATTATAAAATTACTCTGACTATATTTTTATCATGGAAATCATTAATTGCATGTATTGTAGGGTGATTACTTATACATAGATAATTATGATTACACTTAAAATATGTGACATTAACCATATTCTTGAAAAAAACTCTAGCATAAAAACTATATAACTCTTAATATATTTGATTTGTAATTTACCTTAATCTCCATGGTTGCTGAGTTATATGTGAAAGAAAATTAACTTTAGGAATATGTTAAATGCAAGAATCCTTGTAGATTTAATATTTTCTTGAAGTTTCTCTATACTTTTAAATGCTTTTTTTTATAATAGGGTAAATTTACAAGGTAACAGTATATATAACAGAACAAAGCAGTGTTTTGAAGAAGGAGGCAATAGTTTGCTGCAATACACAACTATGTCTTAAAAAATAATAGGTAATATTGAGTTATCAATTTATCTTGGAAATTGTATCTATTGTAAATTTCAGCTATGAAAAGTAACTTAATTTGCACTACAAAGAGGGTTTGAGCATCATGTAGATTTTTAAAGTTAGATTGCTAATCATTTTTGTATTTTTGTTTTCTAATTTTTAGGTTTTAGTATAAAAGCAGTGCCATTCCAGAATGCCATCTTGAATGTAAAAGAACTTGGAGGTATATCATTTAAAATTATTTCTATGTCTGACTAACTTTTATCCATAATATATTAATGCAATGCTTATAGCTAGAACATGATGATTTATTATTCTAGTAGGTGTTCCATTTTCCCCTTTTCTCTTGATAATGCAAGTCCTGGAAATATCTTTCTCCTTACATATGATTTAAAGGTTGTTTGAAGAATTCTAACTAATATAAATTTTGTTTTCTTTTATATGAATTAAAGAATTATACTACTGACGCCGTTTTATACACTATACGCTTTGATTTTGTTTTTCCAAAAGGTTTATTCTAGAGTGAAAAATATGAAGAGAATTTTAATACAATCATACAAAGTAAGTTGTACATTATGCAGCACAAAAACCCCCTGTATTTTAGAGCAGTTTGTATTTATACTGCAGGTTTTATGGTATTAGGTCTTTTTAGAATGTATTTGTTCTGTTAATAAATCTTTGCCAGCGGGTTCTTTACTGGCCAAGCACATTTATTGGATAGGCTGCACCCCAAACTATTCATCACTCAGTCTTTCATTACCCTCTCTGTCTGGGATTTTTTGGTTGTGTTTTATGTCAGTCAGGGTCTTAACCCATGTAAATAGGTTAACAAAGAAATCAGTCAATTCAGTGAACCTACTAAATTCTCTAATGGTGCAGGAAAATGGCAAGTGCTCCAGAGTTGAGTATAATATTGGTGAATTTAATGTAATAGAAGAAGGTTCTCTTCCATCTCTTTAACCATTCTGTAACATTGGCCTTTCGCTTTTGGGGTTGTTGTGGTTCCTTTTTTTTTTTTTTTTTAAGTTTATTCTGTGACCTATTTTTAATTTGATAAAATTGAAGCACAAACATTATGTCATTTTAATGGTGTTTGATACCATATTTTTAAAACATTTTTTAAAAGTCTAATATTGATTGATCCTTTTGTTGTTTGTTTGCTACATCTAGGACAAATATAAATACTAAGTTTGTTTTATAGCTAACTTTCACTTTTGTAGCTGTAATATTTAAAATCAACCATGGTTGGCAAATTCTGATTTTCTTAGGTTTTCTCATTTGAGTGCAAAATCATAAACATGAATGTTCCTGTAATAGAATAATTTTTATACAAAAATATTAGAAGGCTGTGTTCTTTTCAGTTAGATATTTTAATGTTTACTTTGCAGGTATTGGTGACTTTGCATCTCAGGGACCAGGATGTTAGTGAGGAAAATACGTTGAGTCTAAAACATAGAATGCGAGCATTGTGTTGGCTTTTAAATATGGTTAATATGTAGTAAGTAATTTATTACTTACAGTAAACTTATTGAACACTCTGGATGTAAGAAACTATTAATTAATTGATAAGTTGTTGATTATGGGTGTTTTGTTGCATGATATTATTGAATGTGTCAGACAGTTGTAGAAAGTGAATACTTCAAGAAAGCTATTACAACTTTGGCCTTGTGCCACTAAAATTTAGCATGCTATTTGATCAAATTAGAGGCTGAAGGGTGCCTAAGGTCAAGCACTAGTTAATCTTGCTGAAAGAACAGAGATTGGAACAGGTATACCAGTTCCAGGCTAATGATAAGTGATTTGGGCATGTGTTTTTGAAGAACAAATATCTAGTCTGAGCACCAGATTCTTTTACCCCTCATTTTAATAGACGAGAGGCGGTTTTAAGGGAAAAGTGAGTTTTTGAGCAGAATCTAATTGTTCAGATACAAACAGTGGAGAGAGTTCCTTCCTTGATGGTTCATTCATTAATTCCTTTATTTAACAAATATGTTTTGATGAGCTATTCTGGAATAGGATTGGACACTAGGTGATGTCTCAGCTCAGAATGCTAAGAAGTAGGCTAACACATTGATGGTGAAGCTTTCCTATGATTAAAGTGTTATCTTCATACTAAGAGAGTCATCCTATTACAAGCTATGTGATATTTAGGGAGAATTATGACTTACTGAAATCAGTGTGTTCGAAAGAAAGTTGTATGATCAAGAATTTGAAAATTTAAGAGGACAGAGTTGAGTATATTAGGACCAACGTTGTCAAGAGACTGTTGCATCTTTCATGTAAAAACTCTTGTAACTCACATAAAATTTTCTGCTTATGACTTTTTTTTTTTTAAAAAAGTAATAGCTTATTTTAAAATCATTTTGTACCTTTTTTCCATCTCAGTGGTAATCCTGGTGGGCTTCCCATCACCAAATCACCCATGTGCCATCACTATAGTCCAGTGTACTTTCCTCCCCCCACTGTTTTTGATCCCATTTCCCATTCCATCCCCATAAAATAGCTTATGGCTTTTTTTTTTTTTAAATCACACAATCATTCTAGCACTGTTGTGTGTCAAGCATGATTCTGGGGCTGGGAATAAAAGCTTTTTAAAATATGTCTCTGTCTTCAAGGAACTCATGGATCAGAGATGGAGATATTCATGGAAATAGTTGAAATTAATGGAAATTTTGAAAAGAATGAAATTATTGGGAGAAGTAAATGTAAAAAGTACAAAGTAGGCCCTCCCTGGTGGCACAGCGGATTAAAGCACAGCACTGAGAATCTAAAGCCGCTTCCGCATGAGTTCGATTCCCACCTGCCCTGGAGGTGACCACATGGTGCAGCAGACCTCTCCTGACCCGCCCGCTGCTCCCCTCAGCAGTGTACTTCGTCTATCTGCCTGTTCTGTTCCCTTCTCTGTCTCTGGTGAAGCCTTTCGCCGCCCCTGAGCCTCTGGCCTGTACCCCAGTTCTGTATGCACAAATAAATAAATCTTTAAAAAAAAAAAGTACAAAGTAAGGGCTGATACAAATGTAGACATTGTTACTGCAGCCTGTTGATTTGATGAACAAGTTTTGTTTTCTCTATTTTGAGAATGATTCAACTTTTTCTGTCACACCCATCAAATTCTTCTATATCTCTCTCTGTGAAATTGGAACTCTAGATTATCTTCTGTATTTTCTACTTTCCCTTATTCTTACATCTCACCCCCTATTTATCCTCATTTAGTCTTTGTAGCTTCATATCTAGAATAGATGCTACTTTTATTTTAAAGTAGCAAAACACAAGATCCTTGGACATGGATTAATGGAGTTACTTGATCAAGATTATTTGGAGAAGTAGGTAGGGATCAGTGTAAGTACTTGTGCTCTATACATAAAGCATTTATCCAGTCGCTGCCCTAAGGGAAGTGTTCCCACATGTTTGCTGCTGCTTCTTTTTTTTTTAGATTCATTTATTTTTACATGCAGAACTGAAGTACAAGCCAGAGATGCAGGGGCAGTGAGAGGCTTCACCAGGGACAGAATAGGGAGCAGGACAGGCAGATTGACAAAGTACACTGCTGAGGGGAGCAGCAGTTGAGACAGGAAAGGTATGCTGTGCCATGTGGATCACCTCCGGGGCCGGGGATCAAACGCGGAGCCAGGGATCGAACTGGGACTGAAGATGCTATGGCTAGCTTGCAGTGCTGCATCCTAACCCATTGCACCACCAGGGAGGGCCCCCTGCTGCTGCTTTTTAATTAGCATTGGATACACAATTTAGCATTCTCATTTGCTAGTATTATTTCCATTAACATGCATGGATAAATATGGACACCTGCTCTGCTAAAAAAAAAAAAAAATTTTATAGGACCTAACCTTTCATTTATTCATTCAACATGCATTACATATTGTATGCCAGACTGAGTTCCAGAAAGAGGTGGAGGTTATAGAGCATCAAGACAAATACAGGCTCTGCATAAACTAGATAATAGGCGCTAGGAGAGACTTTTGTTTTCCTTAGTTAAATCAAAATATTACTTTTTATAAACCTAGAACAAATTTCTGGGTTAATCCCTTTGTACCTGAAGGGAATTTTAAAATACCATCCAGCAAGAATTGTGATCCCTCTGAAGGGCATTCTGTATTACTGCTTAGTGAGCTATTTTTTTTTCCCCTGCATCTTTTTTCACCTGGGAGTATTTTAGTTATTGAAACTAATTAAAATCCCTTTTCTGTTAGTTTTAATTAATTACTCTGCTTGTCTTGTTCCTGATTGTTATTATTTTTCTGGATGTCATACAAGACACCTGTCAGGGATCCTGGAGAGACAGAAAGATTAATTTTTCAGGGAATTCCCCTTCTTCCCCAAGATTTACTTCATAAGCCCAGCCAGTATGAGTCTAGGCTAGTTGACCTCCTCTATCTTTATTTCCTTATCTGTAAAATGTGGAAATAGTAGTTCTATGTCATAGAATCCTGGTGCAGACTAAATTAGTTAGTATAGGTCAAATACTAAAGATTAGCTGGTTCATATCTCACATTTTTAAAGATTTATTTTACTATAATTGTACCCTCACTACTCTGTGCCCTCCTGACAACTCACAGGAGAGGGTGGGGAGTGGGGGAGGAAGGGGAACAAAAACACCTTTTCATAAAAGCCTTTTCTGAAATCCTAACGTTACACAAATGACTCATTGATTGCTTTTTTTTCTTGCCACCATTCCTCTCCTTCACAGACCAGGTGATCTTTTCCTTCACTGTATTACACTTGCTGAAATTGAAAAGTCACTGAAAAGGGACCTGGTTAGAGGGTTTTGGTTAGCTCTCTGGCATATTTTTGGCACTTCACAGGAGTTAATATTATCTTTTTTTTTTTTTTTTGGTCCCTTTCTATCTTGTCACCTTTCCTTGTTTTTAAATTCTTCCTGAAATTATCTCTTCTCTTGTGAAGCCTCTTAATTGCTTTCCTTCTCTGTCTTATGTATTTTCACCTCATTGCTAGGGTAAGTGAAGCACCTGGCATGTAGCTAAATGGAGAGGAGTGGTCCATGCTGCTCTGATTTTTCACGTAGAAATCTTCAGTTCTTAAATCATCATATTTTTTATGCAATCAGAGATATTTGTTAACTGATCTGAAATTTCATTTGCAAACTGATAGAATTCCAAGAGGGAATTTTTGCTTCTTAACATACTTGGTTTATTATATTTATTGGAGAAGTGTACAGACATCATCATAATATTTTTTCATTCCTGA